TCGTAATGTGGCTATGTCTTCTACTGGTATTTGTATGCAGTTATGGTGTGTTTAGGCAGGCCCTTTTCTTCGGTAATAAAGAACCGTACTGGGGTGTTATCAATGATCTGTTCTACAAGCCTTACTGGCATGTGTATGGAGAACTTTTTGTCGAGCAAGAAGGTGGGTCACCTTTTTTCCAGCCCGTCTGCTGTTTCACTTTTCCGGGAAGGTTTTTTTTCTTACGAGATAGCGAGCTAATGGCCTGGGACCAGGCTCCTCACTGAGGGAAAAAGGAAAAAAGAGGTGAAACAGCTAAAAAAAGCGGGAGCCTGTTCCCAGGCTAGTGAACTAAGGGCTCAGCAGAACTATTATAACTTGCTGCTAGCTCAACCACCTTTTGGCAGCGCTTCTAGGATGTCCAGTTATAGCTTGTCCCACTCGTTCAGATAGTGGGGACGGTGCAAAGAGAGATGAACGAGGAAAAATAAGAAGGAAAGGGATTGAAGAAAAGGAGAAGAAACAGCGGGGACGAGGGCAGGGTGGGTGGTTACGTGACGTGCATGCGTAATAGATACCTGGAGATTAAGATTGCTCTCTCCTCTGGTCACCCGCAATAAATGATAGCGCGGTGCAGTTTGACGTAATGCGGACTCAGTCGCACGTGCGACCAATGGCAGTGATCTATCCTGTGGAATGTGGACAAGAACATTAAGATTTATCATTATTTTGTTTCTGGTAGCGGAACAAGGAAAGCTAGCCACGGGGGAGATTCCTTTACACGATGGCGAACATTTGAAATGGATTCACAGAATACTCATGGGAGCTTACCTGCTCATCACAAACGTGCTTCTTATAAACCTTCTTATTGCCATATTCAGGTATCATGTTCTTTATTAGTTACTTTGTAACATTAGAGATCATACTTTGAAAAACTCACACTTGTTCGAGTGAAGCTGCACACAGATATTCTGTTGGAGATTATTTATTCTCCGATTCACGTGTTTTTTTTTTCGACGTCTTCAAGGTTTATTCAGGCGATGCAAATTTCGTTTTTGTAAACAGTCGTTGCCATTTTTAGTTATGTTGAAAAAACTGGAACTGTTTTTGACTGTGTTTTAACTAAACGCCCATTTAGCTTGGGTTGTACTTCGTTCTACAACGAATATATTACTTCTACCATAAATAAAGGCTTGGTTACCAACGGTTATAGATTACTGATGTATCAGAGCCTGACTTCAGCTACTGATTGTTAAATATTTGAGCCTGCTTGCTAACTTAATGCGTCCTTTCTTTATTGCACTGCAGTAACGTTTTTAACGAAGTGGAAGTGAATTCATATCAGATCTGGAAATACCAGTACTATTATCTAGTGATGGAATACAGCAAACAGCCTCCGCTTGCACCGCCTTTTGCAATCATTTGTCACTTGATTGAGCTTATACAGTGGCTTGGGAAGAAGTGTCGAAAACCCAACAAAGTTTCTCGTGAGTAGTTACTATGTACGCTTGTAACAGATAGGTTCATGTTTTCAAGAACACGGTGGCGTAAAATTCAAAGCCAATTACCAAATAACTATTCCTGAAATTATAGACTAACATGGGACTTTCTCTCAAAAGCTAACTCGTTACGTTCCCTTCACGAAAACTACCTCTACTACATTTCAGAGAAAGTCCTTAGATAATATGTTTTTGTTCAAGGTGCTTCATAGTTTCAGTTTATTTTAACAATATTTAGATAAGCTACTTATTTTCCACATTTCCTTATAAAGATGGTTGTAATTTCAAACATATATAGCAGAGGTTTTTTTTGTTATTGTGCCATTGAAGTTTTGTTTCGTTTTACAGACTGGCTCCTTGCGCCAAATATTTTAATCGATTAATTATAATAAATAATTATTCCATTTATAGTTACTCATTTCTTACATCAGGCAAATATACACAATATTCACCATGTAACATGACCCCATTCACAAGGATTTCGATTAGAATCTTATCGTGTGTCTAAAAATGGACTGTTTTTCGTTTAGCCAAGTTCACTGCAGAGGACCTTGAACTTTTGAGACTTTTTGAAATCGAGAGCGCCGCCAAATATCGGCAGAGAGTTGAAGAACAAAAGAGGACTGGTACGGAGGAAAGGATACGAAAAACTAATGAAAGGTGAGAAAGATGGAAGCGATGCATCACATTCTACTCCTGATCTCCTGATAATAGTTTACATGTAGTCTAAATATCTTTGTTATCGAAAAGTCAAGCTACAAAAGCATAGTATTACGCCAATTATTTTTTTGAATCGAGAGACATTACTCTTCTTTACACAAATAACAATGACAAACTTGGAAACACTGGGCTGCTATGTCGCGCTTTTTGCTGTCGTTTAAAAGGTAAAACGTGTCTTCACATTAATTGAATTCCAAAAAGTTTTGAAGCCATGCCTGCGTTCCCTGATGAAGTTTGTTTGATCTCTTCTTCATAACTTTACAAGAGTACTTTGTGTATGGATAAAGGCACTAAGTTAATTATTGATCCGGGGCTAGAAATGACTGACGAAAAATCGTATAGAATGAAAACTAGTGGTGTCTGTCCCTTCACTATTTTTCAACCTACCAGCCTTTACGTGTTGAAAAGTTACGTAATAATGCCCCTTCCATCTTTTATACTGCGGCTAAATACGGTCACTGTTGATCTGTTCACCTGTGTGGAGAACGTATGGCCGTTGTGATAGAAAAAAAGAAACATTCATCTCCATTCTTATCACATTTTCCTGGCAAATTATGATCAATTTGTACGCTTACCGATGAGAGAACGAAAAATGACTGCTTTTATGGTCTGTTCCATTTGTTCATGCGCGTTTGGGTAGATAGTGTGGTTTATTTTAGTGTTTAATTCTCAATTTGTTCTTTACATTTTGTTTTTTTTATGCTCCCAATAGGGTGGAACACTTGGTGAAAAAAGTGACAGAGCTGCAGGAAACCCTTCAACAATATCTTACAAATATCACTGAAGACTGACTTGAAGTGATAGTCACTTTGCTTGAAGAAAGTATTTCAAAACGAGAAGCCTTTCTCTCCCTTTTCCTTTTTGTGACTTGAACGAGAGCATGTTTATTAAAATCACTTTTAAACATGTTAGAGTGTATTGACCATTTTTACACTGCCCATAATAGGAATAACAAAATATTCATGTTTCTAATAAACCCCCCACCCCCACCACCCCCACCCCAACCACCCCCACAACAACCTCACACCCCAAAACTACCTCCACACCCACTGACCACAGCAGCAAAAGAAAACCCAAACAAA